AACTAGGATCACAAACGTAGCGAGCCCTACTCTCCGGTAAATGGAAGACCGGCAGCGTTCAGCGAACTTCAAAGTGTGCCACTGATCTATGGCTTGGCTGACTGTGGCATGGTCAGACGGCGAAATCGCAAGTATTGCTTCCTTTGTAACAGGAGACGTGTTTTCCGGTAAACAACTCGCATTTAAGTGGACAAATCGTGGTATGCGTCCCGGTAAACGCTGGTCTGATGTGTCTCTCTTGCAGTGGGAGCTGAGCGCGCGTTGGCGTTAAATTGTAGCCGGCAAGAGAACAGCCCTTCGCGAAGAAATGGCCCCCGCACCGAGAAGGCCGCCTGAAGGAGGCTCTTGCCCTTTGAAAATAAAGCCCCTCGACACAGCCACAAGATTTAACTGTCGGTACTCTTGTTGTCTCCACAAGCAGTAGCTAGCCCGCTAGTGTTGTACGACAGCGGACCGCACTGCGCAGCCCATAGCCATGGCGCATCCCTTCCACATCGCGGATGCACGCACTACTCAGGGAGCTCTGCCTGTCAACAGGGAGCTGGAGGCCAAACATAATCCCATCCTTGGAAAAGATGGCTGACATGCCGTTAGACTACCAGTGCCTTCTTTCAGAATGATGACTGAGCTGGGAGCACGATCTCCATTACCGGCTACAGAGCAGCCGCCTGTAGGCGGGTCCAGTGTGAGCAGATGAATGTCTGAGATGATGTCTCCGCCCTGGAACTGTCAGCAGGCCGCTCTGGACGGGCCCCGTTCCGGCGCCGTGTGCCTGGCAGACGGACGTCGTCGGCAGGCCTCGCAGACTCACGCAGCGAGGCCGAAAACGGAGACGTGATGCATAACAATCCTCCCGAGGAACGCTGAGGCCGGCGTTAATGCAGTCAGGCCCATGCTGAGCGGCAAGCCTTCCCGGAAGACGGCGATCGGCGGATTTCGGTCGTCAGGAGCAGCGCGACGCATCATGGCGCAGTCAAACTGGTGTATGTGCCCATTCTGGACATGCGGACGGCCTGCGTGCGATGTGGACTGTTCGCTGCCCCCGAAGCGAGACGAGGTATTGTGTCCACTACGCCACCCGGCATTTTGTTGGGATTATTTACTTGGCACGTTCCATGCGCTTTGAATTATTTTTTGAAATGCTCGAAGCCCATGCATGAGACTTCATGTCTCACGCCAAGTAGCAGCGCAGCGAACTCCGTACACTGCAAGTGCCGAGCAGGACATGGCCTGCCCTATCCCTTCACGCGACTCCAGTGAGCCCGAGAATCTTTACCAGACCGTCACATATACGGCGTCTGTTCGATAAGTATAAGACACAACGGTCAACACTGACTTCCGCTTGGTCGATCTCAGAGTCAGAGTACTGTCACTTCGTAGCCCCAGCTGAGATATTGGACTGGCTCCATTCAATGCCTTAACGGGGCTGCCGCCATCATGATGCTGCAGTGTACCACATCTGATAGCTGGCCACAGGCGCATGGCTATTTCATAACCAAGGGCGCGCAATTGGTGAAGACCATGTGAAACCGAGTTGCACGGTGCATAAACTGCAGTTGAGTGGTACGGAGGTAGTTGCCTGATAGGCGGCTCAGTACGCCATGGTTACCCAGTGAATGATGAACACTGATGTGCACTGCGTCGCTTTCCACATAGATATGCGCTTTTTGCTATTACTGCGCGGCCCCCAGTGCTCTATCGAGTGATACCCGTCGCTACTGCTGGGTGTTCTTTGTCTATGCTCACATGATTTTCGCACGCTTTTTGCTCTATGGTGCAAAGTACGCCCAGCACGACTGTCGTCAGCATGATCCTCTTTCCATAACGCCAGGTGCGCGACGGAGGCCAACAAGGACACGCATCGCAGCTCCTCTCCAGCACTTCGGCTGGAGTTCAGCCGTCGCTTCAACCATCAAAACATTCCACCGAGCGCCAACTACTCCGGCATCCGTACATTGCCGTCGTCGGCTCCCGTGGCATGCATGACAACTATGCTCACCGTCTTGCCGTCTCTGGCGCGGGATGAGCGCGCCGGTCGCGGATTCATAGTGTATCTAAATGCAAATTGAGAGTGCTGCGGTGTCGGCAGAACCAGGCGCAGTCGGCGCGAGCAAGCCCTGTTTGGTCCTCCTTCTGGCCTCGTGGGGTCAAAGCGCGGGTGAGGTGTTCCATCATCCCGGGCCGCATCACAAGATGTGTGCGCCCGCAGAGGTTGCCATTGATAAAATCCACCTCGTTGCGTCATTTCACGTTGAGAAGCTCACGCCTGCCAGCGCTGCGGAACCAGCTTCATCGAGCTCAGATATCTAACAGGTAGGCCACCATGGCTGGGGTGTAGTTTCTTGCCCAGCCTTTCTGGTGGGAGGCGGGCTCCAGCCCGCAGCTTGAAGGATAAATCCGTTTGTTAGTGAATTTTGGGGATATGTTTCATCCATTTTACGATTAAGTCGCCCCGCCCACCCCCACTCATACTGCAAAACTGCACCCTTGCATCATGGGAACATTTCCAGGGCTGATTCAATGGAACACAGGTTATTTCGGTGCGCCCGCAGAGCGCGCTGTCTAGTAAGGCCTTCGATGACGCCGCTGTGCACTGTTAGTCGTCGTCTACCTGACTGCAGGGTGTTTCGCTGATCTGAGAGCGTGCGGGACTGCCGAGTTTCACGATGAGCGTCGTTTCGCCCCTGCCAGCCATCGGGACCGCTGTCTAGTTCAGCAGGAGGAGCTATCTCCATCAACCAGTGGGGAAGCACCGCCGCCAGCCGGGCATAGCAGCTTCAACATTCCGCGCCACATCCGCCGCTGCAGGCTACCGCGACGCCATCAGTCGACAGAGCCGCCCGCACCTGTCTGCAGGACACCCTGTCCCGCTGCTGACCTGTCGCCTCCCGGCTGGTGAGCGGCTCCCGGCCGGCTGCGGGCCGACCGGGGCGCCACCCTCCCGCCGCCCGCCAGCGTCCTCCCGGCCAGCGAAATGAAACATTCCACAGCCGTCAGACGGCCGTCACGCCGTCATGGACCAGCCCGGACGCGCCACGTGACCGCGCGCCACGTTTGTCGCCTGACGGCCGCTGACAGCTCCGGGCCTGATGGAAAACGGCCAATGTTCGGCTCCGCTGCTGCTACAGTCTGCATGCTTTTGAAAGGATTGCACCAAATGAAATCGACACTAAAAGCCACTGAGCTAGCCTGAAGTGTGTCACTGGAATCCACTGAGCTGTTGGTGCTTTACGACGGGGATTTACAGCTACTGCGGCGACACTGTTTGCCGAGCCGCCACCTCGCTTTAATCCCCTATCCATTAGCGTGCCCACGACCCGTGCTACCCCAGCAAGGATTTGAGCAGACACTTACGGCCCGTTCTGACGCCCCCGCTGGTGGCAGCCACCCTGCGCCGCCCGCTCCGCGCCGGCGGCGGCGCGCGCGCTGCTCCCACGGGATAGCTGCCGGTCGGGCCCGCCGGACGACCAGCTCTCGCTAATTAGCGGCGGCTCGCCGAGCGTGGCCTAATTTAATAGTGCGTGCCCTCAGATCCCGCTAACAGCCCCGGTGGAGTGCCGGCAGCCATCAGGTGGGTAGGGGTAGTCGGTCGGCTCGGTCGAGGCGCCGCCGGCCCGACCCTGCGTCTGGGGTCGCTCCGCAGGGCGCCGCGTCTCATGAGGCTGGGAACGGGTGGGGGTGGGGCGATTGAGCGCGGCCGCAGCGACCACGCCCACGTTTGGAGCAAAGGTGGCCGACAGGACCTCTCACCACTCTCCCGCCGGCGAACACGCAGGGTACTTGGGGCCGGTTTTACGGGCTTGGTTTGCCCGCCAACAACACTGCGGATCCCGCAGTCGATATCGCTGCGCTCACGAGAGGCCACAGCCCCGCTCCTAGTCGAGGTCGGGACTGAGTGGTCACGACAGACGTCAAGACAAACCTCTCACAGACGTCTCGGCCACTCCCTCGTCACCCCCGGTCGCGGCTGAACCCACGACGACCGCTCAGCTTAAGTTGGATAGCAGAGACGTCTCTATTTCGCTTTAAAACCAATTACGTCCTCCACTGTTCAGCGTTTCACGCTGTTATGCTCGCCCAGCGGCGGTGTTTTGTCGCCCCGCCTCGTTTCCGCTCGTCCTCCGCGCAATAAACTAACTCGATTGCCTATGGAGCCCCCAAGCCAGCAGCTTGGAAGTCGGGTTCTGGCCCACCTTAGAGCGGTCTCACAGCACCCTCTCACCTCACGCCGGCCGGAGAACCCGCCGCCTCAGTCCGGCCCCGTACCATACACTTCGGGACGCGCCGACCTGACCGTACAGTTGCGGCGTCTGTCCAAGACCCGACAGCCCCGGCGTCTGTCCAAGACCCGACAGCCCCGGCGTCTGTCCGAGACCCGACAGCCCCGGCGTCTGTCCAAGACCCGACAGCCCCGGCGTCTGTCCGAGACCCGACAGCCCCGGCGTCTGTCCAAGACCCGACAGCCCCGGCGTCTGTCCGAGACCCGACAGCCCCGGCGTCTGTCCAAGACCCGACAGCCCCGGCGTCTGCCCGAGACCCGGCAGCCCCGGCGTCTGTCCATGACAGTACAGCCCCGGTGTCTGCCCGAGACCCGACAGCCCCGGTGTCTGCCCGAGACCCGACAGCCCGGCGTCTGCCCAAGACCCGACAGCCCCGGCGTCTGTCCAAGACAGTACAGCCCCGGTGTCTGTCCAAGACCGTACAGCCCCGGTGTCTACCCAAGACCCGACAGCCCTGGCGTCTGCCCGAGACCCGACAGCCCCGGCGTCTGTCCAAGACCGTACAGCCCCGGTGTCTGCCCAAGACCCGACAGCCCCGGCGTCTGCCCAAGACCCGACAGCCCCGGCGTCTACCCATGACCGACAGCCCCGGTGTCTGCCCAAGCCCCGAGAAGGCTGCACATTTCTTCAGCGCCGGCAGCGGCTGGAAGCTGCCTGACATCTGACGCAGCACCGCAGTGGCGCCACCACGGAGCCGGCTAAATAATTGATGGCGCTCACCGTGCGACCACGTGATGTTCGATATGGGGTAACCTCCGGCGGGACAGCGCAGCGTGAGCTTGGTGCCGGCGGCAGCTGATACGGAGCCCATTGGACGCACCACGGGCGGGCCTGAAAGGAAACAGCGCCGCATACGTTAGTGAGGTTGTTCAGGCTTCAGCAAAACCGCCGGAAGTTGCGTTCGAAAACATCATTGCGAACGATGTCCCAGAAAGCAGTAGAGCAACACGTGTTGTGCCATCATTTCGGTGAGATGAATGTGACTTTGCCTATCAGACGTACTGTTTATGCAATAACAGACGTGTTGATTGCATCAGGCGACAGTCCTGCAGCACTGTAGTAACACGACGTTTCGCGCATCTCGCACACCTGCGAGAGAACTTTTACGATACCGACATGCGCTCCACGCGGATGTGATGACTATCCCATCTGCTCGCATTGCCGTGAATGCAACCTCACAAGAAGGATAGAAGCAATTGGTATCTAACACATTTCGCAACGAGCAAACACATCTCGCGAAAACACAGCCGCACAATACACATAAAGTAGCCCTTGCGCGCCTTTCCAGCCGCCTGACCTTGCCACACGATAACAGCACGTTTCGCAGCCGGAGTGCTTGAGCGCACCACCAGTGTTAAGAGCGCCGCTGCGCACGTCCCGGAGCGTGGCAGTTCGCATCGCACCGACTGTGCCGGCGGCGGTCATTTCCGGAGGCCATCTTTGCCGGGCGTTTATAGCCGCCGCTTCGGATGGCGCCCACTTGGAGCAAGGGAGCGGACGGCGGCGACTGGCGCTGTTACTGGGGCGACCAAGCGCCGGCCTGTGTTTACCGAGCGATCGGGCACCGCGATGGGAGGAGGGCGGCCCCGGACGGAGAGCGCAGACATACCGAACAGAGCAGAGCCATGCTGGTCAGGGCAGAGGCAAGCTGGTCAGGGCAGAGGCAAGCTGGTCAGGGCAGAGGCAAGCTGGTCAGGGCAGAGGCAAGCTGGCCAGGGCAGTGGCAAGCTGGTCAGGGCAGAGGCAAGCTGGTCAGGATAGAGGCACGCTGGTCAGGGCAGAGGCAAGCTGCTCAGAGCAGAGGCAAGCTGGTCAGGGCAGAGGCAAGCTGCTCAGAACAGAGGCAAGCTGGTCAGGGCAGAGGCAAGCTGGTCAGAGCAGAGACAAGCTGGATAAAGCACGGACGCGCTGGGCCGAGCAGAGGTGACACGAAAGAACAAGACTATATTGATCAATTGGAATAATGAAGAGCCTGCGCACACTCAGTGAAGACCACGAATTCGTGACAGAAGACGTGTCAGGCAAGGCAAGTCCCATATCGTGCCAACGGAGGCACATGACACTTATTTTGGTATTCAAAAGTAAGTGATTTTTTAGAGACAGAAACCACCGCAGTTGATGCGCCCTGAAAATCCGCTTACTGCGAGAAACAGGACGTTATGCAATATCCTCCTTATCAAAATGGCTTCCTTTTTAGCCAGCACCTGCGTTTCATTTCATAATTAAAGTTGAATTTAAACTAGGGTACGCAGTCGAATATCACCCGACGACGGCCGGGGAGTTAACTGACCGAAACGGTACTTCAAGAACAGACCACACGCGGACGACAGTCCGAATACTCATCGGAAAACATGTAGGGATGGACCTAGATCCCTATCTGGATGTGTACTAAGAATTGCACTTATTGCACCGTCCAAGACTGAATCGGTTCAAGTTCTGTACAACTAAGAAAGCCGTCAGAAGCCGTCTCAGCCGTCCGGAACCAAAGCTCCCCGCCCAAACGCGGTGGCGGCGGATGTCCAAAGTGCACCCGCTCTGCCAGGAGGCGCAATTGGTCCCAATGTTTATTGCAGCGGGTACTCGTCTCTGATTGGGCAGCCGTCGTGAACGCGAGCAGGCTCGCTCCGCGCGCGCGGCGAGGGTGAAGTTTGCCATCGAGCTGAGTGCGCTGACGGCACGTGAGATGGGTCGACTTCGCACGGCGGCGGCAACTCGCGGCGGAATGCCGGGCTAGACATGGTTTAGTCGGGTCCAGAAGTGTTGCTTTCATCACACGGATGCCAAGTGGATTGCCGAAATGGAACGCGGTGCCCGTGACAAAGGAAGGCGTAGGCCATATGAGAACATCGTTTGACTCCGCGACTGCACCGGGATGTGATGTTTGTTGAACACATATTACAATCATTATATGAACACATATATCAATGCGTTCAGCACCCGCCAAGTAGCTTTTTGTTTGCTCAGATACCCACATAAGCGCCCACTTCTTACTTCGTGGTTGTTACGTCGTGGTACAAACAAAACATCAAGCATCAGGCTGCCCACCAATCCCATTCATATTCGAGGACTCACGTGAACAACTACTTTCTTTTGAACAGCGCGCTCCCAAACATTTTTGAACTGTGTGACGTATCCAGCTTACAGCGTCACGCTTTAGGAGCGAGTGCGTTGTTGAAAGGCAACGTCATGCCTCATGACGAAGGGCGTCGGGGTTTACAGCAGACGGGGAGCCCATTGTTCCACCGCCTATGCATTCGCTCGCCGAAATCTTATTTATTCCCATCGGCCGCCGAAGTCAGCCACACTGCAGCCAACCGCTGTTGAGCCTGCGCTATATTTTCCAAATAAGGCTCGATGCGAGCAGCGTGTGGCGTTGATGTCCTACGGGCGTGCAGCCGTCGGGTATCGGGCTTTAGCGGTTAAATGTGCTGTGCACTCGCTGCTGCCTGCTGTATTTAAATGGCTGTAATTAACATGTCTGGATTTATGCTAAACTAATGTCATCGATGACAGATCCCGAGAGAGCTACTGCAAGCGTGCGTATTTAAGCGATGAAGTCAGGAGTCGGCAGCAGGCGCTGACGAGGATGTACAGGCAGGGGAACTTAAAGGAATTTGTGCCCGCATTCCAAGTAAAAATATCCAGGAAAGGCACATAATTCTTGGGAAAACAGTCCAAAAATCTTCCAAAAGACCGCTACTTGGGACTCCTTTCATCCACCAGCTAACGGCAGGACACCGCACTTTGTCATCCACCAATCAGGTAAATCCGACATAAGTCCGTGTGACGTCATATTCTGCCGCATCTGGCAGCGTCACGAGCGGCCTGACGGCGCCGGATGAGGGTCGCTGCGTGGCCCGCGGCGGCGCTGAGGGCAGCGTGGGAGCCCGCCGTCCGGCCGGCGCCAGCGCGCATCACTCAGCGGCGCGGATCATGGCGCGCAGCTATCGCCGCGCCCGCCGACGGCAGTTAGTGGCGCAGTATGTCACCTGGCCCCGCCACCGCCTGAGAATCGGCCGTCTGGATGCGCAGGATCCACCCAGGGGTGCTGGAGGGCGGCGAAGGTCGACCGAGAGCCATCGGGGGGCAGGGTGGGGCGTCTGGAGGGTAGGGGAGCAACGATGTCAGCTGGAGGGCAAGAGAGGACGCCAGACGGTATGAGATGGATGGCAGATGGGATGAAAGACGGGTTAACTATAAGGAGGGGAGCGGCAAAGGTTTGACGGACTGCATGCCGACAGACTTCGGCATAGCGGCACCGTTTTGACCTTTGTTCATCTATTGCAGCGTCTTGACCGACCAACTCACCTTGCGCGAGCGCGCAGCCACACACGTGCAGGTCGGAGCGCCGCCGCGCGCACGCTGTGACCCCAACCACGGCGTGCGCGGCGTGCGCGGCTGGCCGGTGGCCGTGCCGCACGCGGCGACACTGTCAGTCATGACTCATGCAAAATGGACCGCCGAGCGACCGTTTCGGCCGGGGATTCGGCCGACAAACGACACGAGCGTCGCGCTCAGCCGTCGTTGGCGCCAGCGGTCGGCCGGCACGCGGCAGGCGCGGCCGCCGGCCGGGTCTGTTCGGCGCCGGCTGGCTGGGCAGGCGGCGCTCACGTCCGCGCCAGAGATTGGCTCGTGGCCGTGATGGAATGCGTGTTGTGTGTGGTGAAACGTGAACTAATATGTGCTCTTGAGACGATAGCAAATGATATGATTGGAAGGAGGAAACGGCTGTGATTCATGACAGGTTATCTGTGTGAGCTAAGATTACCTCTAAAGCATGTTAAATCTAGCGACGTGGACCACGCTTGCAGTCTAGGATGGTTTCAGGGGCCTGGTACCGAACCCCAATTTCTACGCTGACGATGGTTCGCGGAAATCAGCCCTTTGTCAAAAGATAACCAGACTGTAACACAGCACACCACATTAGAAAATGTTAACGTAATGCTCTCCGTTGATGAATGATCAGAGCCGCACGTTGTGCGCAAAACCTAGCTCATTGGATTCCGGAGATGTTCAGCAAGTTTTGCTCTTCTCAAAAGGATTCACAACTTCCTTAGTCTGCGGTATATACGTAGGTGCTTTGTACAATTCCCGTCACAGGGCGACCTGATTCCCAAAGTTGCGCGAAGTCCTGAACTACCGTCCAGATGGAAAACTTCATTTGGCAGCATATTTTCCGCAGCTGTTGGTGGAATGCATAGCAATGAGTGGGCGCCTGGGCGCCTGTCAGCCGTCTTCCAGACGGGCCTCTTCTGCTGCTGGCACCGCCACCATCCGACTGGCGAGGTGCTGGTACCGTCACCATCTGACTGGCGAGGTGCTGGTACCGCCACCATCTGGCTGGCGAGGTGCTGGTACCATCACCATCCGACTGGCAAGGTGCTGGTACCATCACCATCCGACTGGCGAGGTGCTGGTACCGTCACCATCCGACTGGTGAGGTGCTGGTACCGTCACCATCCGACTGGTGAAGTGCTGGTACCGTCACCATCCGACTGGTGAGGTGCTGGCATCGTCACCATCCGACTGGCGAAGTCCTATCTCCGGCAGCAAGCCGATGTCAGGTCTGTATTTCACACCCGCATCGGCTGGTGCCAGAGGAACACAAACAGCAGATATTCGGAGGGGCTACCAGCAAAGCGCTTTCCAGGCAGGGTGCAGTGTCACACGTCTGTGTTGACTGCATGCTGGTGCCTTGCCACGACATGAACATGTTGATATCACAATGTTTGGTTTGTTCGGTGTCACATGCTATTTGTTTTGTTCAGGAATAAGTTTTGAGTCTGCCTCATCTTGTGCTCCGTAGCAGCTATCTAGTCTTCTGGTGATCTCCAACCAACGCCAGAACATAAAGTCATATAGATCAGTAGATCAATCATAAAGTACCAGACCTGACTTTGTTATCTCTTGCTGTGCAGCATGATCCCCTACAACTCACATGAAAGTACACAAATACGACCGGCCCGCCAGGAGATCCTCGAAAGATCCATTTAACGAACACATCTCTGAGTGTGCCAGATGGACAAAACCGAGGCGTGTCGACTAGGAGGGGGGGGGGGGGGGGGGCACAGGAGGGCATAGCCCGCCGGTCCGGTGCAGGACACGCCACCTATCCGCCGGCCCGACGGAGGCTCGTATCCTGCCCTGACCTGTCCCGCTCCGCCGGCAGCGCCCGGCCGCCGCGCCCGCCGCACTCACCGTACACGTTAAGCCGGGCGGCGTGGCGCGCCGTGCCGGCCACGTTGCTGGCCACGCACTCGTACAGGCCGCCCTCGGCCGGTGTCACCCGGCTGATGTTCAGGTGGCTGATGACGTCAGCACGCAGCGCGATCTGACCCGGCACGTACCTGCCAGCGGCCGGGGGCGGCGTGGGGTCAGACGGGCTGGAGGGGGGGGGGGGAGGCTGGAGGGAGGGGGGAGGGTGTGAAGGCACGGCCCGCTGTTGCGAAGCATGGCGCCCAGACGTGGCTCGCCGGCCGCGAGAGGCGCGTCCCCAGGCGGCCACCAGGCAACTCTGTACATGGCATCACTGGGTACAGCGTGGGGTTCGGGATCAGCAACAGACTGCGCGGCAAACAGCTGGACAAAGGCGACTGCTGCAGAAGTCGCTACTTGTGCTCATGAGGACAGCCTGGCACGTCCTCAGGGGGAGCGACGGAGAGTTAACTCCAGGGTCAGTGGTCACCAGTGAAAGGAGGAACACCCATACAGCAGCGCTGGCTGTCCCAGCGGCACGCGACATTACAACGTAAAAATATCGTTCTACCTAAACGTTCAATGCTTACCCGTTGCCTTCAGAAATATTGGTTTTGACCGACTCATCGTTCGGGATAGGGTCCGCCCACCATTATTCAATTTTTTTTCAACCTCGCCTCTTCCACAAAACGTCAGCCTTCAGTCACCGCTAATATTGACATTGTCGCGCGTTCCCAAAGCCAGCGAGGACATTTCCGCATTTAGTAGTGGATGGCCCCGGACGGCGGGTGCCCTGCAACGACCTCAAAGAACAGCTCTACAAATACAACTGAACCACTCTCCGGTTTACCGGTGTACCACCCGCCATTAAGCGTCAGCCAAGTGGTCCCATATTCGACACCATTCAGGAGCTGGAAATGGCTCAGCACTGGCTCCACACGACTTAGGTCGCCAGCTGTGTCGATAAAAAACGTATTTCGTGATAGCGGACTCGTCGCCGGACTCCGCGGACAGACATCGCTCGAGCGGACGGAAGGCGGGCACGATGCACCGGCTGCCTCGCCGCCGGCTGAGACAGCCCGCTGCTGACAAACGTCTTGTCACTTGGCGTGCACTGCAGGTTGTGAACCGACACCATTTACACTAAGTATTCGAAATTACGTTTGAAGGCATGCTCTAAGAGGGCCGCTAAAAGCCATTTCTTGAACATCGGTCAAGCTAGGACGAGCAACACATAACAGCCTTCAGCAATCGTCGCGTCCATGTCTCCGCGATCGCAGAAGAACACCTTGTCCCCTACAGCTGGAATTTCTCCAGCTGACTTTTTTACATTTTGTGTGTGCAACAGCTAACGAGCTAGCCTCTTGTGCGTGGCAAGCTTTTGAGGAAAAGTGCAGTCAGATGAACGTGTAAGACGCGGACACATACGGCTAAAAGGAGGCTATGAGGGACTAAAAGGCCAAGTCTACAAGGCTCACATACGGGGATAGTGGAACGAGCGCTCGATATTCTATTCAGATTTTGTACAACCCTTTTCATTGGACGATTTTCTGACACCAGGGCCCACACTACAGGAGTGTTTGAGGCATGAGTCATGCCCTATCGCTAGATCGTGAAATTTCGGAGCGAAGGATTAAAGTGCCGTGATGCTTGGTACGGTCCGTCCTGCTCTCTGACGTCACCCAACCTTTGGCCCTCTGACGTCACCTGGCCTGTGGTACACTCGCTGCCACCGGGCGCAGGCCATTCCAGTCAGGGGCGAACAGCGAGCGTTCAAGGCGGCTCGATGTCACCCCACCACAGGTGACTGAATTCGAATTTCGTTAGTTGGTAAATGCAGCCGACTGAGGTACAGCAGACCGATAAATCAAAGAAATGCAAAACTACCAAACCAGATAAGCCAAAAAAGAGCATTAAAACCACGAAGGATCACTCAATCCCGAATGGCCAATGCAGCTAGCAAAACGACTTCCAGGCGCTCTAAGTTTTCGACCCGTCTGCCGAACTTCCACCTGCTGTTTCGGTCGATCAGTCGGCCTGTGCCTAGGATCAGGGTGTTCGGTCGAGCGGCTGGACCCGTACCGGAGTGTTCAGCCGAGCGGCTGGACCCGTACCGGAGTTTTCAGCCGAGCGGCTGGACCCGTACCGGAGTGTTCGGTCGAGCGGCTGGACCCGTACCCGGAGTGATCAGCCGAGCGGCTGG